CAGGATCAGCATTAGAATGGGGGGCAAAGCACATTTGCACCATTTTAGCAGAATTTCTTGGGCACATAGGTTTTGTATGGCCCTCTAATCCACAAAGATAACAAATGAGCTTCTTTCATCTGGTTGAACGTCCAGGGATCTGAATCTTTGCCTGTATGTTTCAGGGTTAATGTCATATTTTGACAGAACAGCTGATTTCACTTTATCATAGTCTAATGAATCATCAATGTCCATGTGAACATAGGCACCTCTAGCTTTACCAGTAAGCAAGGGTATCAAACGAAAAACCCAATCTGATTTCTGCCATCGATAAGCTGTAGCCATACGTTCAAATGTGATCAGGAAATGTTCAATATCATCAGCTTCAGTTAATCTTTCCAATCTGCCCTCTATTTGTAGGGGAAACTGAAATGCTGGTGAAATGGCTGGATTGGAATTAGTCATAACTGGTTCAGCCTGGGCCTGCTGAGCAGAGGAAGAAGGATGAATATCAGACTCTAATAATTCAGAGCGAGCTTCTGCAGAATCTGATGGTGATGTTCTGACTTGGATTTTTGACTGCAGAAGTCTAAACTGATGTTGAAAGGCTTTAAATCGCTTTTCTTGTCATGCATTTAACTCACTCCGTTTTGCATCCCAGACGTCCTGTTGTTCCATGTGAGCATGTAGCATATTGACTAGATCAGACAAAGTAGGCTCCTTTTCCACTCTCTCCACAACTTCAGTGACTCCCGAGGCTCCATTTTCCTCCTCTTCGCAGGTTTGCTGAGCAGATCCCTTTTTCTTTTCATTCTTGCCACCACGACGCATTCTTCTTCCTCATGGGGAAAAACAGAAGAAAGAAAAAAAGAAAAGAAAAAAGACCTGTGTCCAATACTGGTCCAATTGTCAGGGACCAAGCAGTAAAGCATAAAGGACACAGGTGGTTTTAATTCAAAAAAGGGGTTTTATTGACCCAAAAATATGGAAATATATTTAATAAAACCAAAACTTAAACAGGCAGACCAATAAAAGAGGTCAACTCAAAAGCCTAAACTAAAGCCTCAAACAAACATATGACAAACTGACCTGCTGAAATGACACACAGGG